TGATTACAACATACAGTCACAAAAAAAGAAAATGAAATATTTTTTGTTTGTAGTTGAATCCTTCCTGACATTTTAACACTGAGATTTGCCAAATTGGCACGGGACAGCTAGCATATTCTGCTGTAATGGAGGTTCATTTTTTACTCATCAACCAAATAGTAAAGGTACAACTTTTTTATTTTATTTGTGATTTTGTGCACTTGTAAGAACTTGAAGTATGATTTTTTCAGCTCAATTCAATGAAGTTTGGGGGAGCTTATGTGATACCCCCGGCGTCCAATTGTCCCAGTTTAAGGTTTTTGGAGCTCTTTTCTTTGCAAGTAGTTCTATGCCCTATATTGATCATACATGCATGGAACATGCTTCTAGTGTGTTTTATTATACCCCCGCAGCAAAGGAATGACCAGGTCAATGTTTTTCAGTGCATTTTTGGTGCAGTTTTCATGGGGAAGTTCAAGTAAGAAAAAATTTATAATAACCTTATGTATAAACTTGGTAGGTTCTCATTTCACACAAAGGTTGCCCATGACCCAAGTCATGACTTGACCCAAGGTCATGATAACCATAATTCGTGTGCATTTATTCATGGAAAAACTTGCAGTTCTAGTTGTACCAGATGAGGTTTCAGATATGCTGTAATTTCAGCAAAGGAATGACCAGGTCAGTGTTTTTGGAGCAGGTTAACATTTTTGGTGCAGTTTTTAGTGAGTTCTCATTTTGTCCTAGTAACTAAGAACCACTGGGCCAATTTTGACCAAACTTGGTACAAAGCATCCTTGGGTGAAGGGGAATTTAAATTGTTAAAATGAAGGGACATATCCCCTTGCAAGGGGAGATAATCAAGAAAAGACAAAAATAGGGTTGGGTCATTAAAAAATTTCTTCTCAAGAACCACTGAAAAGCTGCAACTGGGGTAGTGTAGTTCTAAATTGTTCAAATCATGACCCCCGGGGGAAGGGCGGGGCCACAATGGGGAATCAAAGTTTTATATAGAAATATATAGGAAAAATCTTTGAAAATCTTCTCAAGAACCACTGGGCCAGAAAAGCTGAAACTTATGTGGAAGCATCCTATAGATGACCAAACTTGCAAAACATGACCCCCGGGGGAAGGGCGGGGCCACAATGGGGATGCTAGAAATATATAGAAAAAATCTTTGAAAATCTTCTTCTCAAGAACCATTTTCTGGCCAGTAAAGCTTAATGTTTTTGGTGCAGTTCTCATTTCCATAGTAACTATAAGCCCATATGGGGAATCAAAGTTTTACATAGAAATATATAGGAAAAATCTTTGAAAATCTTCTTCTCAAGAACCACTGGGCCAGAAAAGCTGAAACTTATGTGGAAGCCATAACTCTTTGAAAATCTTCTTCTGAATGACTGGGCCAGAAAAGCTGAAACTTATGTGGAAGCATCCTGGTATAGTGTAGATGCCCCCGGGGGAAGGGCGGGGCCACAATGGGGAATCAAAGTTTTATATAGAAATATATAGGAAAAATCTTTGAAGAAAAGCTGAAACTTATGTGGAAGCATCAAGTGTACAAATAAGGGCGGGGCCATTATTGGGAATCAAAGTTTTACATTATATAGGAAAAATCTTTGCTTCTTCTCAAGGGGCCATGCTTATGTGATCTGATAATACAAATTTTCAAATAATGACCCCCGGGGGATGGGGCCACAATGGGGAACAGGTATATATCTTTGTTTTTAGTGGGCAGAAAAAGTCTCATTTTCTGGGGTAGTGTTAATTTTAAATTGTAGGAATCCAAGTAACTGACTATGGGGGAAGTGCATGGCCATTATGCAGAATCAAAGTTTTACATATAAATATATAGGAAAAATCATTGAAAATCTTCTTCTCAGGAACCACTGGGCAGAAACATTGTGCCCATGGAAGGATTTTTTAATTTCAAAATGCTGTCAGTGGGGTAGGGTGGGGATGCATTTGGGGAAATCTGGTATAAAGTATGGTCAAAGCTTCTCAGGTGAATTGGCCCATTCTGTCGGACCAAACTTGTGGATAATACACTGAAGGATTATATTTTCCAGTCAGAGTTCTCATTTCCTAGTAACTATGAGCCCTATGATGACCAGATACGCTGTACCTTATTTTGATGCTATAGAGAGAGACATGTGAATAACAGCACCAAAATGCCCTTTATTTTAAATATTTTGATTCAGAGAGAGACATGTGAATAACATTTTTTTTGTGCCCTTTCTTTATTTCAATAGCCTTCAGTCTAACAAGTTTACTTTCTAGGGATAGAGAGTCTTTAACATTAGACATAATGACATGAACTCTGACTTTGCCAAAAACGCTGGAATGGATTTCTTTGTTCTCTCTTTGCAGAGACTTCATCGTTGGAGATGGTGTTTGCAAGGACTTGGAGGAGGCTGGGCATATTGGAACAGCATGCCAACAACGCTGGAGTAGAGGTATTGCTTAGTTGTTAAGGAAAAGCAGAGGTGAGTTGGTTTCATTATCATTTGTGCACTCTTACTAATTAGTACTAACATTTCCCTCCCGTCCCTCACTCTCAACACATTATTTGTAGTAGTTCTTTCCTTTTGTTTTCTATTCTGTTGTTTTTTCTTTGTCTAATCTTCTCTGTTCTCTCTTTGCCGGGATATCATCGTTGGAAATGGTGCACTTGATTTGGCTGGCTCTTCATCGTTGGAGGAGGCTGGGCATATTGGATTGGAACAGCATGCCAACAATGCTGGAGTAGAGGTATTGCTAAGTTGTTAAGGAAAAGCATAGGTGAGTTGGTTTCATTATCATTTGTGCACTCTTACTAATTAGTACTAACATTTCCCTCCCGTCCCTCACTCTCAACACATTATTTGTAGTAGTTCTTTCCTTTTGTTTTTTGTTCTGTTGTTTTTTCTTTGTCTAATCTTCTCTGTTCTCTCTTTGTCGGGATATCATCGTTGGAAATGGTGCACTTGGATTTGGCTGGCTCTTCATCGTTGGATTGGAACAACATGGCAACAACGCTGGAGTCGAGGTATTTGTAAGTCTTTAAGGAAAAGCAGAGGTGAGTTGGTTTCATTATCATTTGTGCACTCTTACTAATTAGTACTAACATTTCCCTCCCCTCCCCCACTCTCAACACATTATTTGTAGTAGTTCTTTCTTTCTGTTTTTTTGTTCTGTTGTTTTTTCTTTGTCTAATCTTCTCTGTTCTCTCTTTGCCGGGATATCATCGTTGGAAATGGTGCACTTGGATTTGGCTGGCTCTTCATCGTTGGAGGACTTGGAGGAGGCTGGGCATATTGGAACAGCATGCCAACAACGCTGGAGTAGAGGTATTGCTTAGTTGTTAAGGAAAAGCAGAGGTGAGTTGGTTTCATTATCATTTGTGCACTCTTACTAATTAGTACTAACATTTCCCTCCCCTCCCCCACTCTCAACACATTATTTGTAGTAGTTCTTTCTTTCTGTTTTTTTTGTTCTGTTGTTTTTTCTTTGTCTAATCTTCTCTGTTCTCTCTTTGCCGGGATATCATCGTTGGAAATGGTGCACTTGGATTTGGCTGGCTCTTCATCGTTGGAGGACTTGGAGGAGGCTGGGCATATTGGAACAGCATGCCAACAACGCTGGAGTAGAGGTATTGCTTAGTTGTTAAGGAAAAGCAGAGGTGAGTTGGTTTCATTATCATTTGTGCACTCTTACTAATTAGTACTAACATTTCCCTTCTCTCCCCCACACTCAACACATTATTTGTAGTAGTTCTTTCTTTCTGTTTTTTTGTTCTGTTGTTTTTTCTTTGTCTAATCTTCTCTGTTCTCTCTTTGCCGGGATATCATCGTTGGAAATGGTGCACTTGGATTTGGCTGGCTCTTCATCATTAGAGGACTTGGAGGAGGCTGAGCATATTGGAACAGCATGCCAACAACGCTGGAGTAGAGGTATTGCTAAGTTGTTAAGGAAAAGCAGAGGTGAGTTGGTTTCATTATCATTTGTGCACTCTTACTAATTAGTACTAACATTTCCTTCCCCTCCCCCACTCTCAACACATTATTTGTAGTAGTTCTTTCTTTCTGTTTTTTTTTGTTCTGTTGTTTTTTCTTTGTCTAATCTTCTCTGTTCTCTCTTTGCCGGGATATCATCGTTGGAAATGGTGCACTTGGATTTGGCTGGCTCTTCATCGTTGGAGGACTTGGAGGAGGCTGGGCATATTGGAACAGCATGCCAACAACGCTGGAGTAGAGGTATTGCTAAGTTGTTAAGGAAAAGCAGAGGTGAGTTGGTTTCATTATCATTTGTGCACTCTTACTAATTTGTACTAACATTTCCCTTCCCTCCCCCACTCTCAACACATTTTTTGTTGTAGTTCTTTGCTTTTTTTTGTTTTTTGTTCTGTTGTTTTTTCTTTGTCTAATCTTCTCTGTTCTCTCTTTGCCGGGATATCATCGTTGGAAATGGTGCACTTGGATTTGGCTGGCTCTTCATCGTTGGAGGACTTGGAGGAGGCTGGGCATATTGGAACAGCATGCCAACAACGCTGGAGTAGAGGTATTGCTAAGTTGTTAAGGAAAAGCAGAGGTGAGTTGGTTTCATTATCATTTGTGCACTCTTACTAATTAGTACTAACATTTCCCTCCCCTCCCCCACTCTCAACACATTTTTTGTAGTAGTTCTTTCTTTCTGTTTTTTTGTTCTGTTGTTTTTTCTTTGTCTAATCTTCTCTGTTCTCTCTTTGCCGGGATATCATCGTTGGAAATGGTGCACTTGGATTTGGCTGGCTCTTCATCGTTGGAGGACTTGGAGGAGGCTGGGCATATTGGAACAGCATGCCAACAACGCTGGAGTAGAGGTATTGCTAAGTTGTTAAGGAAAAGCAGAGGTGAGTTGGTTTCATTATCATTTGTGCACTCTTACTAATTTGTACTAACATTTCCCTCCCCTCCCCCACTCTCAACACATTATTTGTAGTAGTTTTGTCTTTTGTTGGTTGGGTTGTGCTGTTGTTTTTTCTTTGTCTAATCTTCTCTGTTCTCTCTTTGCCGGGATATCATCGTTGGAAATGGTGCACTTGGATTTGGCTGGCTCTTCATCGTTGGAGGACTTGGAGGAGGCTGGGCATATTGGATTGGAACAGCATGCCAACAACGCTGGACTGGAGGTTTTTTTTTTTGTATTATTTTGATGTTAGGTCTCTTTGTTATTTTAGTTCTTACTTTTTGATTTCTATTTTGTTTCCTTTGTTAGTATTTGTTGTTATTTGTTCATTAGGTTTTTATTATTGTTATTTGTTTATTGAGTTGTTATTATAGTTTTTTGTTTATGAGGGTTGTAAAAGTTGTTAATTTTCATGTTTTATTTGTTATTTGTTATATTATGTTTTTAAGATTTTTATTAGTTGACATTGTTATGAGTTTCAGTTATTTGTTATTGAGGCAGTCATGAGTTTTACTTGTTAGGAGCTTAAGTTATTTGCTTTTGTTGTGATTTTTAATTATTTGTTATTGTTATGAGTGTTTGTTAGTTGTTATTGTTATGAGTTTTATTTAGTTGTTATGAGTTTAGTTATTTGTTATAGTTATGAGTTTTAGTTATTTGCTTTAGTTGAGATTTTTAGTTATTTGTTATGATAGTTATGAATTTATGTTAATTATTATTGTTCTGAGCTTTATTTGGTATTGCATTTATTATTCCTAAGAATATGTCTAATGTTCATTGTTGCTTTATGCATTAGCATCAACATTAGACATGTTGGATAATGAGGAAACAGTGTGTTTCACCCAAAACATCTGTCTTATTGAGGGCCTTATTACAGTAAAACTCGGTTATAACGAAGTCGCTGGAACCTATGACATTACTTCGCTATATCCATAAATTGTTATATCCGTGAAATGATTTCATAAAATTTTTATAGCTAGGGATTCAAGATAATTTCACTATATCTGTGAATTCACAATATCTGTGTTTGTACCAAACGAGTTTTACTGTATCTATTATTTCAGCTCTATTTTAAAATTTTGTTAGTATTTTATAGTTGGACAGTGTTCAGTAAAGATGAAGAGAAATAAGCCAAATTCTAAACCATCATCGATAAGGTAAGATAGAAAATATTGAATTGATAATAATTGAAAAAATACAGTAAAACTCGGTTAAAACAAAGTCACCGGGACCTATAAAATTACTTCACTATATCCATAATTTGTTATATCCGTATAATGAATTCGTTAAATTTATTAAGCTGGGAGATCCAAGATAACTTCGCTATAACCGTGATTTGGCAATATTCGTGTTCGTACTAAACGAGTTTTGCTGTATATAGAAAACTGAAATAAAGTATTATTGTTAGATTATAGATTTATAATATTCCATTTCAAATCAATAATATATACAGCCAAACTTCATAGTAATCATCTTTATAACAGCAGAGATCTTTCTTAGGTGGTCCTTTTATTTTTTTCAATGAAATATCCTATAAAACTTTATTAAATGGTCACCTTTATTATGCAATCATTTTAAACAAATTAAAGACCAAAAATTTAAGAAACAGAATAAAAGTTATGTAAATCTAAGAAATTAAGGAAATGAAATCTTAGTTGAAAGGGACTGACTAGGGTATTTTAGTGTAAAATGCATGCAGTGAAATAAAGCTGTTGATATTTTTAGCAGATGCACCCTACTGTCCTAGGTGGAAACAGCAGATACTGCCTAGGTGGAAACAGTAGATGCACTCCTTGGACTTGGTGGAAACAGCAGATGCATCCAAAAGGACTTGGTGGATACAGAAGGAGCACTCCACTGGACTTGGTGGAAACAGCAGATGTACCCTACTGGCCATGTTGGAGACAGCAGATGCACTCAACAGGACTTGGTGGAAACAGCAGATGCACCCAACTGGACTTGGTGGATACAGAAGGTGGACCCAACAGGACATGGTGGATACAACTGGAGGAGACTTGCCTGATGATGTTGACCTTCCAAACAAGACATATCAAAGGAGATAATTGACACTGATCTGGTACATTTATATGAACAAATCATGATTAACGATCATTTAATTAACCATGTCAAATTTAATAGCTGACTTATTATTTTTAGCCTGGCTTATTTTTAGCTCTACTGGTCAGAGACGAAAAAGCTCGCGATTGTAAACAAGGGGATGACATGGTGGAAACAGTTGGAGGAAGCAGGGCCAATGGATGCTAATCTTCCAAGATGTGGAAACAGCAGATGTCCTCAACAAGACCTGTGTAACAGCAGATGCACCCAACTGGACACTGATGGAAACAACTGGATGATGCATAGCCAGTACTTGCTGATCTTCCAAGATGTGGAAGCAGCAAATGCACCCAACAGTACATGGTGAAAACAGTAGATGAACCCAAAAGGACCTGATAGAAACAACTGGAGGATGAATAGCCAAAGGATGCTGATATGACATTTATCAGGTATGTGACATTATCATAATCTAAGATCAGTTTATTAACAAAGTCAAATTAACTAGCTGGCTAAAATTTTAGCTGATCTTATTTCTTAAAGTCAGCAATACCTGACTTTTGTTATGATGTTCAGCTAGATAAACCAACTCTTTACACCAATATTGAATGTTTGCTTAATAATATAAAACATATATGTTAAACCACTGTTGAGACAACATAACAATTGTTAAAAAAGTTAAATGAGGATTTTCCTAAAGAAAAAATTCAGTGATGTATTTTCTCCATTTATTTTCTTCTGATTCTTACTGCAGCTGCAGCCAACAGAACCTTGTGGAAACTGCTGGAATAAACAAGCTTGATGAACCTCTTTTAAGATGGGAAAACAGCAAATACTTCGAAAAAGACTTGGTGAAATAAATCTTGAGGAGGCAAGGCCATTATGAATCTTGAGGCAAACTTGATGGACAATGATTTTCCAATATGTGAAAACACCAGCTACACCCAAAGAAATTGGTGGAAAGATGGGAAAACAGCAAATACTTCTAAAAAGACTTGGTGAAATAAATCTTGAGGAGGCAAGGCCATTATGAATCTTGAGGCAAACTTGATGGACAATGATTTAATGTGATTTTCCAAAGAAATGTGGAAAGACAGCAAATACTACACCAAGGCCAAAAGGAAACTTGATGGAAATGATTTTCCAGGAAAACAGCAAATACTTCTAAAAAGACTTAGTGAAATAAATCTTGAGGAGGCAAGGCCAGTATGAATCTTGAGGCAAACTTGATGGACAATGATTTTCCAATATGTGAAAACAACAGCTACACCCAAAGAAATTGGTGGAAAGATGGGAAAACAGCAAATACTTTTAAAAAGACTTGATGAAATAATTCTTGAGGAGGTAAGGCCATTATGAATCTTGAGGCAAACTTGATGGTCAATGATTTTCCAAAATGTGAAAATAACAGCTACACCCAAAAGGAATTGGCGGAAAGATGGGAAAACAGCAAATACTTCTAAAAAGACTTGGTGAAATAAATCTTGAGGAGGCCATTATGAATCTTGAGGCAAACTTAATGGACAATGATTTTCCAGTATGTGATAACACCAGGTACACCCATAAGGAATTGGTGGAAACATTTAACACAGACAAGCTTGATGGACAATGATCTTCAAAATGTGGAAACAGCAGATGCACCCAACAAGACTTAGTGGAAACACCTGGATAGCATGCAATTTATGCCTGATGGAAAATGTATCCTTTTCCACCAAGACATACCACAGTGGATAGCTGAAACTGATCAGGTATATGACATTATCATATTCCAAATCATCTTATTAGTCTAAGACTCTTTTTTTGTAGTCGGCAATATATATATAGCTTGATTTTGTAATGGTGTTCAGCCATATATGCTGACTCTTAATTCATACCAATAATACCCGAGAATGATACGTCTGATGTAATTAATGTGTGAAATTCTAATTAAATTTCACATTTTTGTTGTTGTTGCATGGTACAGTGGTATTTAAGAGCATCTGCTATAGAGTAGCATAGTAAGGAGTTGATCCTACCATTGTGGGTTCGAATCCCACTGTGGGACAAGAAGACCGGTTTTTCACTGAGATTATATAAACAGTGATGTCATGTTGCAGTAGGTGCAAAAAAAATCCCTCACTGCTCAATAGTCTCAATACCAAGTATAGGTCTACATTTATAGCCCTCCCCTGAAAAATGTTGCAGTGCTATATGAGTGAAAATTTCTCAAGAGGGACTGTGTGATTATAAAAAATTTATTCTCATGTATATTTGTATTAATTATTAATGTTTATAAACAACAGAAACCATAGCTAGGGAAAATGTTGTTTCACTAATTAATACCAAATAGCTAAGTCACTAAACTAAAGACGTGTTGTAAAAAATATGGTGATCTAAAGTACTGTATTGATTTCTACTTTTTCCTACCCTTAGAGCTCAGGTGAGCAATGTAGCATATAGGTCTCTTCTTAATTTTTTTTTTATTCAAACCTGACAATTACCTCTTGCCTTGTTCATTTACAGAAAATCAAAGAAACTTTTAGAAGGAACATCCTTGAGATCATATGTGTGGATGAAGAAGCAGGACTTAATTAATGCAGGATTAATCCACATCTTCAAAGCACTGATGTAAATCCATTTTAGTAACAATGTTTTTTTCAAAGACTTTTTTAAAAATATAAATTTTTGTAAAGGGTGTCCGAATTATGTCAGGGTATGGGGTCGCCCATTCGGACACGTGGGTTCTCTACGGGTACTCCGTCTTCCTCCCACACTGACCCCCTGCTTTTCTTTTTCTTCTTCATTAGCTAATTATATTCATATTGTTAAGATGAAGTAGTTGAAGGCTAGTTGTAAGTAGGCTTTATCGATACCCTGGGGCATTACTGGCTGGAACTTAAGTTCCTTCGCCGCCACGGTTGCCAGGCTGGCCCGGGGAGGAGAAGCTGAAAGGGACTAGTTGGAGGCTGCTTTGTCTTTAATTATCTTTTTATTATTATGCCAATGAGATAATGATTCATTATTGTAATTGTTTTGATGAAGTTAAATATGTTCCAGATGTAATGATTGTTAAATATGACATAAGTATTCATAGAATGTGTAAATTCTGTCAGCTGTTGTAGAAAGAATAATTTGTATAGTCACCTTTTCGTTATTATAGTTTATTGTGAAATTGAATCCCTCAATAAGTCAATATACTGATTTAACTTAATATTCAGAAAGAAATATATATAAAATTGTAATATTGTATTTGAAAGTGTAATATAGAGATTTGCCTCTAAAAATGTTAAATTGTGATATTTTAATGCAATTGTGAATTGTTGATGTGAAATTGTGAATTTTAGTGTGGAATTTTGAATTGTAAATGTGAAATTATGTTAATCTCATTGGAAAGTTTTGTGCAGAAAAAAAATAAAAAAGAATGAAAGAAAAAAAAAAACAAGCCAAAAAAAAAGAAAAAAAAAAAAAAAAAAAAAAAAGCACCGCGATTGTACACATGTGTTTTAAAAATATCAAGTGAAAAAAAAAAATTAAAAAAAAAGAGAGAGAAAAAAACAACAGAAAAAAATGAGAGAGAAAGAAAATAACTGAAAAAAGGCACAAAACTTTTAATGCTGCCTGCTTGAATTAACATATCCCATGGGATATGTTATTTCAAGCAGAAGGTTCCAAGCCCTTAAAAGCAGAGGAGAAGTTTTGGTGTTTATATGTACAATGCATTGCTGAATGTGCATACTATGGAGTGCTTATTTAATGAACACTCAAATGATTAAACTTTTAAAAATCATTGTAAAATATCAGTTCATACGGTATGTACAATGCATCAATTATCTTATCAAACAATTTCTAGCAAATGGTATCTTCAATAATCTAGCAGTGTTTTGCTGAAATGAATGCAAAATCATTATTTTCATATGCAACTTAATTTGTTATACCTTTAAAAATTTGTTACTATACAAATCTATACTAAAAAAAGTCTAACATTTTTAGCTCACCTGAGCCGAAGGCTCAAGTGAGCTTTTCTGATCAAAATTTGTCCGTTGTCTGTCGTCATTGTTGTCGTCATAGTTGTTGCATTGTTGTAAACTTTTCACATTTTCATCTTCTTCTCAAGAACCACTGGACCAATTTCAACCAAACTTGCTACAAAGTATCCTTGAGTATAGGGGATTCAAGTGTGTGCAAATGAAGGGCCACATCCTCTTCCAAGGGGAGATAATTATGAATTAGTGAAAAATTAATGGAATTTTTACAAAATCTTCTTGTCAAGAACCACTGGGCCAGGAAAGATGAAACTCATCTTAAATCATCCTCAGGTAGTGTAAATTTAAATTTGTTAAAATCATGACCCCCGGGGCAAGGGTGGGGCCACAATGGCTGATCAAAGTTTTACATAGGAATATATATAGGAAAAATCTTTAAAAATCTAAGTCCTTTCAAGAACCATTGGGACATGAAAGATGAAACTCATGTTAAATCATTCTCAAATAGTGTACATTCAAGTTTGTTCAAATCATGGCCCCTGGGGGTAGGCTGGGGCCACAATGGCCGATCAAAGTTTTACATAGGAATATATAGGAAAAATCTTTAAAAATATTTCTCAAGATCAATAGGGACAGGAAAGATGAGACTCAAATTTAGTCATCCTCAGTTAGTGTACGTTCAAGTTTGTTCAAATCATGGCCCCTGGGGTAGCTAGGGTGGGGCCACAATGGCCGATCAAAGTTTTACATAGGAATATATAGGAAAAATCGTTAAAAATCTTTCAAGAACCATTGGGACAGGAAAAATGAAACTCATGTTGAATCATCCTCAGATAGTGTACATTCAAGTTTGTTCAAATCATGACCCCCGGGGATAGGATGGGGCCACAATGGCTGATCAAAGTTTTACTTAGGAATATAGAGGGAAATCTTTAAAAAATTTCTTCACAAGTACTGCAAAGCCATGATTAGAGATATTTTTATGAAGCATCTTCAGATACTGTAGATTCTTGTCTGTTCAAATCATAACCCCTGAGGGATAGGGTGGGGCCACAATGGGGGATCCAAGTTTTATATTGAAATATATTTTAAAAAATCTTTTTCTAAAGAATAGCAAAGCCATGATTAGTGATATTTATATGGAAGCATCCTCAGTTAATATAGAATTAAATTTGTTCACATCATAACCTCCAAGGGTAGGGAAGGGTCTCAATGGTGGTTCAAATTTTTACATAGGAAAATAAAGGGAGAAATCTCTATAACAGAAAAGCTATGTTAAGTCATATTGACATGTAAACATCCTCATGTATTGAAGATTTAAATTTGTTCAAATCATGGATACTCTTTGGGGTAGGGAGGGAAATGATGGGGAGTCAAATTCAAATTATTACAAAGTAATACCAGTATATACAAACAAATTGTTAAAGAAATCTATAAAAATCTTTTTCTCAAAAACTTTCTCAAGAAGTTATATGCAAAATCAATATGGAAGCATTCTCAAGTAGTTTTAGAATTCAAGCCCCCTCCCCCACCCCACCCCCTCAGTAAACTTTTCAATTCTGATCTGATTTGTGCGTTTTCCAAGCTGATGTGCTCAGGTGAGCAATGCGGACCCTGGGCCTCTTGTTTCTCTTAGTCATGTATTGTGACGTAAATTGCGTCATTTACCTCAAATCTTGAAAATTTCAAAAATTTTAATCCGTTTTTGAATATTTTGCATAACATCCAACCTCTGATCTAAAATGTTTAACTATATATATAATGAAAGAACTGTTTTGGAAAATTCTGATCCATGAAACAATTTTTATATCGCGGGGTGGGCTCATATTTTAATCAATAGTTGAAGATGCTCAAATTCACCCATTTTCATCAAAATTCAAGAATATTGAAGTTTCACATAGCCTGAGTATCAAAACTTGGACTCTCAGAGGAAATTTTTTTTAATAGGATGAGTCATTTTAACAGTTTCTTCCAAAGTTGAAATGATGAAAATGGCAGGCGTCTGCCAGAAAGGTACTCCTTTGTCCAGATAACTACTGCCGTTTTCAAGCTAGGAACTTTCTTTTCGCAGACTAATTGTGCATGTACATATATAT